AGATGGTAAGTAAATTAACTCCGCCAAATTTGGGTATATCATTGATTGAATACGAATAGTCTTCTTTAGTGGCCCGAAAATATTTCTAGAGTTTTGAGTGAATTTTAAAATTGGTGTAGGTTAGATTGTAATTAAATTTTCTCCGCCAAAATTGCGTATGTCATTCATTGAACATTGCCTTCCTTAGATGCCGAAGATCTTTCTGGAGTTTTTAGTTAATTTTAAAATATGTGTAGGCAAGTTAGACGGTAGTTAAATTGTTATAACCTTTTTTTAAATTTACATGAAAGCATTTATAATTTGAATTTGAAACATTACTATGCTGTGTAAGTTGTTTAAACTATTTGTATTGGTAAAAAAGGTAGATAAAATAATAGTACTTGCTAGTGTTTCATAGAAGTCTATGTATTCAAAAATATTCGTTTTTATCTTTAAACAGCATACTGAAAAGATTTCCTGAACTCGGTCGTTGTAACACTTTTAGCTTGAAAGGTACTCAAAGCGTTCTGCGGTAAGACGCAAGTCTCCATCCTCATTAGCACGGAGAAACTACGGGTTTACATTGTTGATGTGAAATGTTGAGCGAAATATTTGTATTTTCACATATTCGGACTGTACAATTTGCACTTGCTATCCCTATACTTAGTGTAATATGGAAAAAGTATTCAAGTTATGAGTTTTGAGTGGAAATATCCGTTTAACGTGCCCCTGAACCAAAAATATTGATTTTTGAGGTAATATCATAGTTACTCCACCGCTTACTTATTATAAGGGTGTTTGATAAGCTAATGGGAGAAAATATGTGTCGGATTGCTTATACCATTTATTACTTTATGTTGTGAAAACTTTAATGCAACCAATCCTTCATAATCACATATGATAACTCATTAGTCATGTATTTACTATACCATAACATACCAAGTCTTGAGATGGTTGGCAACAAACTCGTGGGAAAGAGGTAAGATAAATTCCGAAAATTAATTTATAGAACGAAGGTATATTTACATCATAGAAATTTACATTTCAGTTGCCTTCTAATTTCAAATAAGTCGCTTGGAGGTAAAACTTTAAATTTTGATGCATCTGCTCAATACAATAATACTTTGTAACGTTTCGACGGAAATGATTTTTTCTGGCACACAGCCAAGTAAACTCAAAGGGGACTTTACAAAACTCATTTCTAACAATTACATACAATGTTACAATATGTTACAAACAATGTTACATGTAACAATGTTACATTTTATTCCTAACAATTATGTGTGAGCAACTATTTTCTACAGAGGAACTAAATCATGATCAACCGGTTAGATGAACGTTTGAAAAATAGGCACCTAGTCATCTATAAAATCAGTGAAATGACAAATATTTTTAAGAGATTTTAATATATAATTTTGACCTTGGCTTGATCTGATATTTTAAACAGTTTTACTTATACACACCGCCATACACCAGCGCTAAGGTGTGAAGCTTAACTTCCCGATTCAATTAATATGTAAATTCAAGACACACCCGAGTTTAAAATAAACCACAGATCTCGCGCCCCTGGTGTGCCTGCCTGCGTTACAAGTGTTACAGGGAATATAAAATTAATTGGTTACAGCTCAATAAAGATCGCTCTAGAGATAAAGTATGATTGTGCAGTTTGATGTATTGGACAGAAATTATGTAAAAAGAAAATTATTAGTACTTTATCTTCATACATCATCCAGTGTTTAACTTTATTAATTATTTCAGTTAAGTGAAGAGATAGGGTTTTCGTCCTTCTGGCTCTGCGTCTAATAATAGGACAATTATTTATTTTTATTTTGGCCTCTAGAATGAGCTATAACAAATTAAAAATTATTTTCAGTTTTGATTTAGGAAAGAAATGAAGGCCAAAAGGTCAGGTTTTGGGCCATAAAGGAACAAACAAATTAAAAAAAAAAAAAACACAGGAAATGGGGGAAACATTATATACTGCACTAGTTCACATCAGATTAGCTGAAGAAGATTTTACTGTATGTTTCTACGGTAAATGTTGAGCGTGCGTTCATATTTCTATTCATAATATGTTGTATTTAGTATTAACCATTTTGATTAAATACAGTACAACATATTAATTGCCTTTGTTCATTGCCTTTCGTTGTCATCACCATACAACAAAGCACATTACGTACAATTTACCATCAAATAAGAAAGGAACGCACATCAAACTTATATCAAAATTATGATGATTAATATTCGAAAAGGTGAGAATTCTTCTTCCATCGTTCAAAGGAACGTTCAAACTGAGCGAGTAACCCAATAGTTAAAAGCTTAGCCACTATTCAACTCTGAAAAACTAATTTCCAAAGTAGGTATTTAGATCAGGAATAACACACCTGAAACCATAAAAATTATCACAAAATAAACCTAACGAAATTATATAAAAAAACTAAATTAAAAATCAAACACAAAACTATAGCAAAAAAAGATACAACTCTGTACTCATAGACACACTTTAGCATATGAATGGATGATTTAAATTTTAAATATTTAAGGATGAATAAAACCAAGAGAAAATGCGGAGCCGGTGACAACAATACATATTTGTACAGAGCGAATACGAAATGAACTCGTGTTACAAGTCAGTATTTCTCGGAGAAACTGCAGGATTTCTCCGTTTATTTAAAGAATCTTTGGTTGTCTTGAGTTTATTTAGTTGCGAAAACAGTGTTGAGGATTTGTTTGAGCTAAAACACAAGAATTACATAACTTGTTTTAAGAAAAGAATATTAGGGATTTTTTATGGAGTTATACAAATGAGATCACTTTGTATCTCAATGCAACTACTTCAAAGCTGGTTGTTGAACAAATCTCAATAATATTAAACACAGACGAAGTTGTTTTTATGGAGGTTATAGTAGATTGCAGTAAAATTGTTTTAAAGTTTTTTTTTTTTTTTATTTGTACATGAACACTATAGATTTATTTACATTAATTAAATGTATCTGATATACGCTGTTATAACATTTTGGATAAAGAGATGGGGAAGTTGAATGAATATGCCAATTTTAGTTAAGTCCAAGGTGTAAAATAACTTGAAACATGTTTTCTGTATAGCCTTGTTCATTTAATTGAATAACTATATTCAAATAATTATTAAAATTACTAAAAAAATTCCAATCTTTTTATTTGAACCAACGTGTTCAATCAAACACATCATAAATAAAGTTCAGTTGTCACTATGTTACATACTTGACGTAATTATCTATTCCACGAAATTGACGTACTCGTATAATATAGAATAATATGGATTGTATAGGAGACTATAGTAGTCCTAAATTAGACTGGACAAAATAAAGAACAATACCAAGTAAATAATCAGCTTTAAGCATGAATGAATTTAAGCACATTTTTGCCATTAATATTGTGAATGCTGATACGATTTTCCACGCAGTAAAATATGGCTGGAAAACAATCGCCCTATATTCGAACTATCAGGGTATGGTTATGAATAATACCTACTTATCATCTGCTTTACGGATAAAAGAATCAAATGTTTGATTGCCGCCAAAATAATCTGTCACTGGGAAGAAAAATAAATCGGATAAAAATAACGGAAAATGGAGGATTATTTGACAGTTAATTAAAATCATCATGGCGAATGGCGTATTATCGTATAATAGTTACTTATCTACTTTATACATAACAATACTATTTACGACCATAACATATTTTCATTTATAAAAAAAAACATGAATTCGACTGAAAATCTTATAGTACATATATGGTTTTTGGAAAAAATACCCTATAGTTGTACATGGTAAGAACATTCTAAATTAGACTGAAACCCCTATCCTATATAGATAATTTAGTATAGAAAACAATTAGGCCCTATATTCGAATAATCATAGTATGGTATAGTGTAACATGTATGCATATCATTTACGTAAAAAAACAAGATTATTGGTAAACGTTGCCACTTATATATGTAAGGGCGAGGGTATTATTAATTCATTCCTCTGTATACGTATCGAAAAACAGTAATTATTTTTGAACCCTAGTTTCAACAGAATATAGGTTTGTGTGATACAAAATATACTGATAACCTTTCCGTGTAAGCTAAAACAAAAAAAAACCCTAAACCAATATTAAGGAACAATCACCCACGATTTGACTGAACAATAAGGGCAAACCATACACCGATAAGGGAACAACCCCTAAATAGATTTCGTCTGATCAAATACTTTAAAACAAATACAGAACAGAACTCATTATCAAAACTGACTGATACGGTTAAAACATTAGTTTAAGCTTAAACACCGACTAGGCCAATGTAATAATTAACTACAACAGGCAAAGCTATACACCAATCAAGGTACAAACCCTGAAATTTATCTGAATGCATGCTCTAAGAAACGTACTGAACAGAGCCAAATACAATATGAAATAAAGTAATAGTAACTTTTTGTTTGAGTAAATGTCAAGACAATGAGTTAAGGTGTGGAAATTTGGCTGAACATTTATGTGGAAACTATAAACCGATATAGGTAAAAAACCGTACACTCTAAATATCAACAGATACTTAGTTACAAGAACTTAGTACATGTACTTTATGCATCAAAACTGACTCGCCTAACGCATGAATTAAACATACACCTGTTATGCCAAAGCAAATATACCAATCAACCATAACCCGGCTGAACAAATATGGTAACCAATACATCGTTTAAGTAAAAATACGGAATTATTTTCTAACCACATACGATAAGAAAAATACTGATTTATGGCTACAGTATAGAACAAACCGACTGATATGGTGTATGGAAAAAATAGATACCGGCTAAGCTAATTTCAAAAACATCCATAATTCGACTAAACAAATGTGGTAAACCTTACACCGATAAAGCCACAAACTTCGATTATATTTATCAACCTGGATAGCAACAAAACTGACTATCTGATTTACACAAATGATAACACCGGTTGAATCACCATCAAGGGATAACCAACCATAATTCAACTGAACCACACACCTTGAGCCGGTAAAGATAGAAACCTACATGTATGGTTACAGGATAGCTAACATACATTGAGCACACACTGTTGTAATGTATCCATGTGGGGACGGGCCATGGGGCCCACACGCACACACACACTCGCGCAGCAGACACCTGGGTCCTACTGACTACTGACTGAGACTAGCGCCACCCCACCATTGCCGCCTTCACCGCCTCCACCGCCTCCACGGCCCCCACCCACCGATTGATCAGATCGGAGTGCCGCCGCCGCCGCCGGCCGATCTTGCACTTTCCCTGTACAAGTTTGGACATTAGGATTAATTTATATTGGATAATAATATAACGTAATACAAATGAGGTAATGCTTGAAATAGTACTTAATTCAAGGATGGTAATACATTGTATTGAATTATATATTGGGAATAGGGACAAATGACACTTTGAATTTACTTTATTGACAGGAAAAATATCCTCCTCTACTGTATGTATGCTTGCACAAATATCTCGAAAACGGCTTCAATGATTTCCTTCAAATGACGTAAATAATTTATTTCTGGCCTAAAAACGTGTTTACTGCAATCAAAACTGCCAACAAAAAATCTAAATAGGCCTACGTAAAAAAAAAATGAAATTGAAAGTCAATTTTGAAGCATTGACCTTATGGGTTGCCAAGTAACTATGTTGGTTGAACAAAATAACAAGGAAAAAGTAAACAAAAGACTTGTAACATGTGTTTATAATAAGCCATCCATAGTTAAATATCAAATTACAAAATACAGCACAAAGGGGAAAACATCAGTTGTTACTATTGAGCAAAGATACCACTGAAGATTACTCGATATTGGGGTACAATGGAAATAAACTATACCAAGCCATGGCTCGGTCCCCAGGTACTTGTACAATTCAATGAACATGCAAACAGCTGATTTGTAGCCTCCAATTAGAAAACAATACGTAGAGGGTTACGATCGACCCCCAATGTATCCTTAAAGTATGGGCCTGAATAGTTTTCTTATATACCAATGATTTATACTCTAAAATCACTACAGGTTCAATTGATTTTCATACGTCAAGTAATAAGGTTTTATCTCTAAAAATAATTGCATTTAACTGTAAATAGAACGTGATCACTATACACAACAAACGATAAAATATAACTCCAAATCCACCGGTACCGCACTCTTGTCATGTTCATTCAACTACTGTTCTTCTATGTTCTCTTTGAATATAACGACTGGCTAAAGCTGGCCCCTTTACAAAAAATCTGCTTCTTAATTATCAACGTAAAATTTGTTTTTGGGAAATTCAATAGTGTTGTTGAATAAATTGAATTTCACCAAAAATAAATTTATAATCAATCAAAGGTATAAAATTTAACCAAATCTCGAGAGTTATATAGTTACGCTCGCCATCCATATTTACAACTGAAATGTTTGCGAAACATCATCAACAAAATAAATAGCGAAAGCATAAAGGTATCACAGTACAAAAACAAATTAGAGAAAACGTGTTCAACACAATACATTTTAGGCTACTAAAATATTAATAGAAAAAAAATCTGTTTATCCGTGTCTATAACAAAACAAGGAATCATTTCCATTGAACTTCAGAGCATCTAACAGTTCAAGAGTAACCTTTGAAGTCTGGTGTTATAAATACTACGAGATCGGAAATTGGACCCTAAGGGAAATATCGATAAAGGTTAATCGAACAAAATACTGAAGCCCAATTGGGCTTTGTGCCTTGGAATATCTTCAGAAAAGTAAAATGCTTTTTATATTTTACTAGCGTTTAAAACACAAACAGCGTTTGTGTAAAAACTAACACTTAAAAAATGTAGCTATAATTTTTATTGCACAATCATTAAGTTTATGTATATCAATTCCTCCACCCTGTTCACATTATTACAAAATAATAATGACAAACGTTCTTCAGCAATATTTTCTTGTTAAAAATAAACCACAATTAAATATTTTTGCCGTATAAGTAAGTGTCGTGGTAATATTTTAAATGTATTGAATTTATTTATTCCAATTTTACGGGATGAAACATTAATCATTTTACATCTCCTGAAATGGTTTTCAAAACAAAATCAATCTTCCGTGAGTGTGACGTGTTTGCTTACAATATCTATCATGCTAAGACGAATCTAGGTCAAAAGGTTTCTTGTTTCGGTAAATCGTTCGTTAAAGTACTACGAATCATCCTAAACTAATTTGACTAAGCTCAACTAAAATCACTTTCACATAAATTTGAATAAAAATGTCACAACAAATTTTCGTAAAAGAAAAAAAACTGGCAGTATCCGACGCATTGAATAAGAAGTATGAAAATCCTAAGAGCAAGTAAAAACTATTGTACCAAGATTTATTTGATTTAGTAAAGGTAATTAACACGATTAATTCTATTTGCATTTTACCATGACTAACACAAACATGCATTTTTAAATCAACCTCTTGTACCCTTATGTTTCTGCCACTAGGCTAAATATAATTTAGGATAGTAAAATTCACAGAGGGGCAAAAATTAGCAAAACTAATTAAGGTCCAGTAACTATTCTATGTCATATATTCAACAGGGACTAAAAGTAGAAATTTGAAACCCCGAGTGTAATTTAGGCCAGATAACAGGTGTGTAGTTGAGGCATTTTCATTAAGTAAAAGTTGTTCCAAGTTATAGCAAGACGGCTATAACTTGTTGTACTTGTTGACGGCTATAGTTGTAGCAAGACGGCTGAAGCAAGATTGAGGTGCAAACTTGAAGCTTTACTTACAACAAAACTGTCAGCTGATCTCGCATCTTACCTGAAACAGAATTCACCACTTTAAAAAAACATTTTTACCAACTTAACGACAGTAAAACTCCGCAAATAAACTCTTAAGCGATTAGCTAAAACTTCAATTAAATCCGGACTTGTCAACCGTGCAGTGCGTATCTGTGACCACAGTGGTAGTCGAATATTAAAATTTTATGCTCTGTCTAAATAATGTTTGTTCGTGTGTTTGTGTTAAATGTTGACGACCTCGATATAAATGAAAATTAATTTATATTCTTGACAAGGATCTGAAGAAGGCCACACAGGCGCCGAAACGACCGTAGTCCACCCAGAGGAGGTATCAGAATCACAAAACGTAATCAAGGTAAATTAACCTCTTATTTATATGTTAAGTGATTCAAGACTACACAGTAATGAAAATCCAATATTAGCCTTAAGTAATGATAAGAATACTGAGGTATGTATAGGAAACTAGTAAATTATGTTTGTATGATTTGTACCGTTGGTTACAGACATATTAAGTACAGTAAGTGTATACATTAGTAAGTTACTATGAAGCCAGTGTTCATACCATTCGTTGGGGCAACTAACCTACCACCAACCAATGAAAACAACTGGACATTTTGGGCTTTTAGGACATCACTTAACAGTTTTTTTTTTTTAGATCTAGGACTTAGTTTAACAGGTTTTATATTTTCAAACGAAATCCGGAAGACATGTAAATATTTTTTGACTTTATGAACTGTTTGTAATTGAGACGGTAAATGCTAAAAATTGGGTAGTTGGTTGTTAGTATTTGCCTATAAATCTGAAGGACACCAGTTCAGGCCTTAAGAAAGGCAATAGCCTTTACGATGGTTGGAAAGTGAACCCAGCTCTTCTTAAATTTCGTTGTTATTTCGTCACCAGCATGGCAACCCATAAGGCCCACGTTAATTTTTCTTTAATTTCAAATTCATTTTTTGTGTTTATTTTTTAGCCTATTTAAATTTATAAAGGGATTCTGTACATCTATACGAAAATATCTATTTTAGCAGTATGCGTAAATTTTCCCTGAGATGCATTCGAACTGACAGACCCCATTTTCAAGAAACATGCTTGCCCATAAATATATTTGATTAAATAATTATGTATAGAAAATTATGTATATAATTATATATATAAATATCTCTCCTAGAAGAGCAGTAAGATAATTTAACCAAGGGAACACAGACATGGCTTTAAGCGACTAACAGCGAGAGATTCTGTAGAACTGGTATTCTGCTAATGATGTATGATGTATTCAGCCATACACCACGCAAAGCTACATCAGGGCAGTCATACATCTTAGGTGTTAGACAACACATACACACACAAGAACACACAAAGGTGTTAGCGTTACGTTTACACAGTACGCACTTGGAATGACATGAAGTACGCTTTGAGGTTTTACCGTAGAAAAATATATTAGTTTAAAATACAATAAAGTGTTCACGTCATTTATTTTGTAAAATCAAGCAATGTAGACTAGAGTTTATTTTACCCTCGAACTAAACCATTGAATAAAATCATACAGTTGGAGGTAATTTAATTAAGTTTAGTCTGCTAGTATTTACATTGTATGTTATTATAAAACACATAATAAGCGTATATAGCCAATGGCAAAACGAATCTTTCTCTGATATAATATTATTAACGTCTTGATGGTAATTTTGCAAAACGTGTTGTTGGTGTGCACTAAAATTTATAAATTCTGTCAAACATGACTTACAAACAGTATTTACATTAAACCTTTTACTTAAATGTTATAATATTGCTTTATAACAGAACTCATGTTTTTATGTCAAACTGTATGCGGAGGATTTTAAGTTTCTTTCGTTATTTGGTCGCTTTGCATGTAAAATATAGTTTTAAAAAAACTCAAAGAGAACCAAAACAATTTAATATAATAAGTTATAGTACCATTTTGACATGGAAAAATATTAAACATTTGCTATTTAAATTAATAAAAAGCTGGTACTTCAGTCCCATCTTCAAACTCTCTAAGGGTCCTCCACTTCTTCCTTGCCCTCCTTAAGACGGGTCGCCGGAATTTTATCCCCCTGGAATTTTACCCCCTGGGCAAAGCTGACGTCACTATGACGTAGAAACCTGAGTGGCCAAAAGTTTGTTCGCGGCCGGAATTTTACCCCCGCGGATTTAGAAGTCTAATGAAAGTAGTCAGAGCGTGATTAATTAGATTAGCGATATAAACCGGAATTCACGTTTGCCCAGGGGGTAAAATTCCAGGGGGATAAAAATCCGCTACCCCCTTATAGTCCAGTAAATAGAGACAAAAATAGGGGGGTTAACTTACAAACGGTCCGGTAA